TATTGGTCGCGAATTTATACGAGTACATGATAATTAGTGCGGTGTGGATTGGGAGTTTTGATGTCGAAATCGGACGAATTAGTTTTTCTTTTGTGTTCGAGATAGGGTCCCCGAGTTAATCTTTTATCAAGCGCAATGCCGAGATATTCGAAATCGGAAGATGATGGAATTCGACTACCGTGAAAGTAAACTGTTGGGGCGGGTCCATTATGATTACGTTATATAATTTATTTACGCGTTATTGTTTCAATAATAATATCGTGGTTTTGTTTTTGTCGTTGCGGTTTTGTTCGGGAAAAAAAACAAATAAATACTCATTATACTGGCTCAAAAGCCGCGTCCAAAGTGATATTTCACAAACAACTTAATATGCATGGAAATAATCGCCGCCGCAGTAACCGTCATTCAGCGATTGACATCAGAACGGTTCACATCTTAAAACTCGAAAATGCCTTTTTTTTTAAACGATTTTTTTAAAAATCTACGTACTCGACAATCGATGAACACGAACACGGATAATACGAATCGGTTAGCAATACAATGATCGACTGGGGTATCAATTTGTTATTGCCGCAATAAGACACTTCCGATTCATAATTCGGACATCGGACAATTACCCGAACACCTCAAACTAGTGAGTATTCTTATTCGGTATTGTGATACGTGTTTAAATATTTTAAAATTATGTATGTTAATTCAAACACGCAGCCTCTCTACATTCAGCCAAGTTTTAATACGTCAGCGTTTTTATAAATCCCAGAATATTTATATTTTACATAAAAATTATTACTTATTCGAAGCACGTAAACAAGTTTGTTATATTATTTTTTAACCCTTTCGTTTTTATTTCGCTCTCCTTCTTTCCGTTTAGTTTCCTGAACACAATGAATTTACGACGTTGCGCTTCAACTTGCGCGGCATTTATGCAAACGCATCATTTTGAAAATTAATTAAAAATCGAAAAATAGCGCGGCTGAAACCTACACCATCAGATTACAAATAATTTTTATGCATTTATAATAATAGCTATAAACATTTAAGTTATGATTTCGAAAAATATTGGTCTCCAATAAATTGATGATGTCTGTAGCTCCAAAGAAAGAGATTTGGTACCTTTCGGAGGAGGGACCAGAGTAAATGGAGCTACCTCATATGTTTTATAAAAACAAAGCATTGTCAGACAAACCCTCACGTATCGCAGAATAGAATTTGATATGTATTTTTTCACATTTGTAAAACGAAAATTTTTGTGGGCAATGTTTTACAATATTTTGCAAATATTTCACAGATTTTTAAAATGCCAACCATTCTAAGTACATTGCTTTTTTCCATTTTCGGCTCTCATTTAGCTGTTTTTTGAGAAATATGCCACTGATTTTTCTTCACAATATTTGTTCGTCCGTCGTTATATTAACGTTTTCGTTGACGCAGACGTTATCACCGTTTACAAAGATATTCCATAGTTTAACATGCGTGAATACTCTAATACTCTAATATTGGATGAAGACCTTTGGCTATACCTATTTATTCCTATATCTATACATATCCACTATAGCCCGCTGCAATTGAATTTATAATTGTGCCCAAATAAGTTTTGACGTTAAATGAATTTCGGCATAACTAGGAATATACTGGTGTGACTGAAGGGCTTGTAAGCTCTTGAATACCATGAGCCACTGGCGTGGCTGAAAAGCTCGTAAGCTCATTGGATTTGTTCGTACAATGAAAGCTCATTGATTATGTGCGTTCAATGAGCCTCTGGCGTAGCTGCAAAGCTCGTAAGCTCGCGGAAGTCAAAACTCTCAAATCGAGTGTAGGGGTTACATCGTCAAATTTAAAACGAATAGTGCCAGAGAACTTCGAAATTCGAAAGCAAAAATAGTATACATTCTTCGTATTCTTCTAAAGTATTAAACATGTTAACCTAATGGAGAATTTTTAAATCGGTCGAATCGTTCACAACGTCTGTTATTTTGCGTCCCCCCGTTTAGCGTTTTAAAAATCTCTCACCTCCTTCCCTTTTTAACAAACACGATGAGCAAAAAAAAAATATTCATCAAGGCGGTATAAGCAAACTTATCAAAAACGTCAACTGAATGTCTACCTAAATCGGCCATGCTTGTAATCTTTAAACCTTTATCAATACCCAATCCCCGGTCATAATTACACATACTCCCCTCCCCCCTTTATCCTAATAAACTTACTCCGATCTTTACGAACTGCAACTTTTTTTGAAAGCTCCAGTTGTCTAGGTTGTACTTGAAGTCATTTTTTTGATTTTCAACGCTATTTTTCGAATAAAAGAACTTGAGTGGGAAAAAAACGTAGGAAAACGTAAAATTTCACGATTTTATTATTTTATAAAAACACGGGCGACCAGAAAAAATGATTTAATTGAAAAATCGCAAGACACCTTAATTATTGCCTTTTTGATTTATTTTCTTACAGTATTGTTGCCAAAACTTTTGATCCACTTTTGAGCTTTTAAGGAATTTTAATTGTTAGGAGTTTGCTGTAATTCGGTTATAAATACACGTAGAGGCTTGAAATTAGGTAACAATACTTATATTGGACTTACCTAGAATTGAAATGAAATCAAACGAAAATTACAAAAAAAAAAAAAATTACGGGACTTCAAATTATGTATTACCGAACTGCGCTCGTAATCGTCTTTCGTCAAGTAATGGTTTATCGTTGCTTAGAGATATAAATGAAACAGTCTTAAATTCTTCCTTCCCAACTTCTCTACTGCAACAGTAGCCGCTTCTATCCCCAGTACCACCTCTTTTTTTTTATATATATATTAAAGGTTTAAAAAGTTTTATAAATGTGGTCGGTGTCAGTAAAGCAGATAAATACAATTTTTGCTTTATTTTTATTTTATTTGATAGACTAGCTGTCCCATCTATCGTTGCCCATGCTATTTATTTTGTATACATTTTTTTTTTAGCTTAATTACTTGGTGTATATTTATGTATATATAAGCGAAAATACTAAAATCGCGATTAAAACAAAAAAAATAGATGGTTGTTTTGCCACATATTTCTAGTGAATTATAGTGTAAAATATAATTAACTTATTTTAAGTATGTGGGAATGGTGTTTATGATTGAAAGATGAACGGAGTGGTGTGGACGATGATGGAAATAACAAAACGCCAGACATTAATTTTTTTAATTTAATTTACTGAATTTTTAAAATATCAATACATATTTTTTATCTTCAATGACAATTTAAAAAAAACATCAGTACTATCTAACTACTAATCAGTACATCTCACTTAATAGTTAGATATTAGTAAATTTGTTCGTCTGTTCTTCCTGCTCTACTATTTCGTATGTGTGTTGCTCGACGGTCCAAATGGGCCCACCTTTCGGCTTGCTGGCATTGTTTATTGTAACACACACACAAATAAACAACATTTTTTTACTTACTGTCTTACTGATGAAATTGGGTGAAGACAGTTTATAACATTACATTTTATTGCATAAAATAATATGGCACATAGATCTTTAGAATTCATTTTATTTATATTAATTACCATAGATACGTTTTGGCCGAACTTTCACATTTTTTTTTTCATTTCATCCGTGTTACTAAGGTAATCCTTAAAGAGAGATAATTTTTTAATTATTATGAACTGAATTAAAATACTAAAAACGCGATTAAAAAAATGGTGGTTGGGATTAGAATGTTATATTACCAATATAAATATATATGATTTTATGTGATTCTTGATACATCTTGGTTTGCCTGATTTTAAAAAACTATACGGCAATATTACATGGTCCGCACTATCGTTACAATAATATAAATACGCGTTATCATTTAGGCTGTATTTATTGAAAAAAATTGTAAATGTAATATTTAGCAATTTAGTAATTTATTTGGCTATGTGTATGTAAAAGGCTATAAATAACGAAAATTTAATAATCTTAAAATTGAAAGTACATAAATTTCTTTATTGTGTAGAGTAAGAAAACGTACAATCTTAACTCCTCCCCCCCCCCCGAAATATGTTTGGGTAAACGCACCTGATACACTAACCTATAACCTGACATTTGTATCTTATTGACGGATTTTTTTTTCGATGATTACTGTTGTACACACATAATATAATATAATACTGCCGGTATGATGAGCCGACCGGTAACAGATATACTAGCCGGTAGTGATCGCGGTATAAGTCGGTTAGGTAAATAAATTAAACACACAAAACACGGGCCCTGCCGAACATATCAGGAGGGGCCGGGCGCACCCTAGCCTCCCTGGTCACGCCGTTGTCCACAATTGTAACGGTGGGTTTATATTTTGCCCGCTCGGCTCTCGAGCACACGGCGGGGACGTACGGCGGAGGTTAATATACCGAAATTCGCTTTTTTTTTTTTTTTAAATTCCGAGTGGTGCGAAGAAACTCGTATGATTTAAAAAGACAGGGATGTACTTCAGGTAGGTCGTTTTACAGTTTTCTCAGATCGTTTTATCGTCAAATGTGAAAAACCGCGAAAAAAGAGGACGAACGGGAATAACGGTACGTTATTAACGAGAATATATATAACGTCTATTTATTTTTTTTTTCCATTACATGACGTATACTAGCAGACCCAGCTGAATGTAGCGATAAAGTGATCATTGCATTCATTGACTCTTTAGCTACACTTCATTCATGATTTTAATTAACGCAATAAAACGAATACGAAAAATGTATGAAGTTCAACAGTTCATATTAGGTAATATATATATATATATCGAGTAAACGAAAAACTTAATAATAAAACTACAAAAATCAAGTATTTCAATGGCGGGTCGGCAAGACGTTTCCTAAAATTTCCGTTATTCTCCGGACCAACAGCCCATAGTCCCCCGCACGTGTGAGCTCATATTATTAACAATGCGGTTCATGGGCGACCGGATTTTTCATCCGAATATATAAATGTGTAAGTATATAAATATATAATTGTATGTACATACGGCCCGGCGCTATGAAAAACGCAAAAATGTTCAATTTCTCTGCGCAGCCGTCCGCCTGACATCTTGCTCATTCAAAAACGGCTTGTTACGTTCCGACGAGTCGCAACATTCATTTCCGCGGACCGCGTTCGTTTCCGTGCCCCGGCCAATACTCTCCGCGCCCGAGGTCGATTTCTTGACGGTACCGTAACAATCGACAATGGGTTTTCGCTGGGCCGGATCGTTAGCCCCGCGCTCAACCTTCGGTCCGGATTCTAATCCGACCGGAAATTTAATATGGTCACGGTGCAAAACAATAAATACAAACCGATCGAAATCGGTCCGGCTCGTAGCCGCGGGTTCGCCGTGCCCGTCACACATTGACACCGACACCTGTGGGATGGAGGGGGGGGGGGGGGGGGTGGAGTATTGTTTTCCCTAGATATTGAAGTCCCGCGACACCGCTGACGTCGCCGAAAGGACGGACGTAACGCGCGCGTACGGGCCGACACGACGACGCACGTAACGGCGTACGAAATAATACAAACCGGATAACAGTAACAACAACAATAATATAAACCGAAGGGGGCGAAAAGCCGTCCCCGGGACGCCGATCGCCGACGCGATAAATACGCCGTGACGGGTTTTCTCGCGTGTATATTGTGTACGCGATAACCGCGCAACGACAACGCGTGTAAGCGTACGTGTTACGCGCGTGCAGGTAGGTAGGTAAACAGAAATATTATTATTATTATTATTATTTCGTGTGGCGGTCGGACATGGGAAAACGGCCGGTTTTTTTTTCCCTTCGCATCCGCGCACAAAAAACGCGGTCGCCGGTGCGCCGTTCGCCGAAAAGACGCGCGACTCGAACGGCCGTTTCCGTCAGTCCTCCGCTCCTACGCTCCGTGGTGTCCGCCCCGTGCGTCGCGCACCGCCGCGACAATATCGCCGCGTTGTGTACCGTCATAAATTAGGTGTGTAATGATGTCCGTCCGACGGAGCGCGACGGCCGCGCGGTTTTCTTCAACCCTTCACACCAAACACCGGGAGCCGGGGTCGGGACGTTGTCGCGGCCGCGTTCCGTTCTCGCACGGCCATAAAAACCGTAACGACAATGATGGGCAACAACAACGACAACGGCGACGACGATAACAATAAACGTGCCAGGTACAACGACAACAACGGCTGACGGGCGTCGGCCCGCGAGAGGACGGCGGGCTCGGCGAGTGTGTGCGCGCCCGCGGAGCGGAGGAGAGACGCGCGCACGATTTACGACCGACCCGCAGTGTCGCAGCATAATGCGCGTTACGGTTGCCGCCGCGTATGCGTGTACGCGGACAGGTACCCTACAGCCCCCACGCCCGCGTTTCCCGGCGGTCTTTCGCCCAAGGTCCCGCGAGATGCGCGCCCGCGTGTGCGACGGTCCGGGCGAGAGAGAGCCGAAAAACCGAAAAACCGAAAAAAAAAAGGAAAAAAAACCGATTAGCTACGACTGACCGACCGAAAGGGTATGACATTATTATAATATTGTTGTCGTACGCCCCGGTGTCCTCGTCGCGTCCCTGTCCCTCGGCGGCGGCGGCGGCGGACGGTTTTGTTGTGGCCGTGTACAGCGAGCCGGTCACCGACGGGGGCCCGACCGTGTCCCTACCACGCATCCCCTCACCCGATCGCAACCCGGAACGAACACAAACGATAATAATAATACCGTCGCGCGACGGCCGGCGACCGGGTGTGTGGGAAAAACGACTGTGCGGACCCCGACCCCGGACGAGAATTTATATACGCGCCGATCGATCGCATTCTTCGGTTTACGCCGAAAAAAAAAAAAACAAAACAAAACAAAACCACCACGTGTGTAATAAAGTACACTAAATTATTGTCTGACCCACGTCCGTGACCGCGCCAACCGTGTCCGCTCCAGGTCTCCTCTCTATATTGTATTGTTATTGTAATCGTGTGCGCGATACGCGCTGGACACGAGGCGCGGGGCTCAGGGGAGGCGTGAAGAAGGCGACTGCCCCTCCGAGAGGGCATCGCGCCGGTGCGGCGCCGCGAGAGTACGGGACGCCGAATGTCGGGGACGGATATCGAGTTTGGGCGCTAAACGCGGTTGTTAGCCGGCGGATACAACCCTCCGGAGACTTACGGTTTTAGGTCCGATTCATCCAATGTTGGATTTATAACACGGATCTGAAATACTGGCACAGTTTCGTTTTCTATTTTAGATTCTGAGTGGATCGAAGTGGCTTACGGTTTTACAATGATGTTTATTTATTTTTTCCTGTGAATAATTTCTATACCGGCGATTTCGCTCGGATTTACAATTATAGCGATTTTTCTAAAAAAAAAAAAAAAACCGGATGGGAAGGTAAACTGATTTAAAGAGATAATTTTCGATTTTTCCGGGAGTTTTCTCAACAAATGTGAAAGACCGAAAAAAAATACTGAGAAAAAACGAACAAATTTTGTACAAAATTAAACAAATATAAAATTACTAAAGAAAATTTATAATGCCTATATTTTACCAAGTTATGACATATACATCGTTAATATTAACTGATCTCCGTTCAGAAACGTTTTTTCGTTCGTAATGGTTTATCCATTATCCGCTATATTTACTAATAATATTGTGCACTTTTCGTTCTATTTCACTAAGTACGGTCTGCCCTGGAGTTTTTGCTTTTTTTGCCAAAACCGTTAGGGGAGGGGTTTAAAACGTTGATGTTAATGTCGATCGATCCTTACCCCCCCCCCCCACAAAGTTTTCCTTTACTCATTGTTAACTTGTTTGTTTCACTGTCGGCTCTCGGACAACGAAAACGGGACGGGCGCCGTAAGGAATCGCGGACTATCGCAAATGCACCTGTGGCGGTCACAGTGGCCGCACCCGTACCCATTATCGTACGACGGCTTTCTTTCCCGTTTTATCTTTTATTCTGGGGTTTGCGAAACATATTGACGTGTAACACAAGTATGACGTGTACGGCGGTATCTGACGGCGGGGCGGGTATACGACAAACGCAACGGGAACATTACGGCGCCGTGTCCCATACACATAACGGGCGTAACGGGGCCGGGACTTCGCCGGCGGCGCAGGTACGTGCGCGGCGCCGGGCCGCCGTACCGCGTGGACATCTCGTCTGTAACTCGGAGCCAATAACTCGGAGTAAATAGTTTTCACGGCGGTAACATCTGTAAACTTAATCCGTAAAGCCGGCGTGTGCACGGCCGACCGAACGCCGTCTCTCGCGGTCGTGTGGTTTTTTACTTTTAGGCGCGCCGACGGGGTCCGTTAGAGCCGAACGGCCCTGAAAACGAGAGTGTTCGTAACAGCCGACCGGATTTCGTTTCGCCGCCGGCTAAACCGGGGGCACCATTCGTTTTCCAGTCTCGCGACGAGAACGCACCGTCCCCGGACGTCCGAAACAAAAAAAAAAAAACGGTCGCTGTACAGACGTCGAAGAAACCGCGGAAAAAAATATTATACACAGCGATCGCAGCGGCCGCGCCCGTTTACGCGTTATATCCCGGGACAGCCTTGTTTTCCCGTTCAAACACACGTGTGTACCCCCGTTCGACTCGAGAGCACGCCCGTTTTCCAGATAATTCCGTGCGCCGCGCGCCGTCGCCACTGCGGTCACTGTGTACACGCATCGAATCGTAATAATAATATCACAATGCCTACCACAATGTTTCGGTCAAAATTAACGGGCGACATGGAAAAATTACGTCGCTTATAAAACGTAAATTGTAGCGTTCACTTAAATTGAAACGGAGCATTTGTGCGAGAAAATTACGTGCACGCTGTTCGTAAGGCCGTTAAAATGAAATGCTATCGATATTTTTCGTTCTCTACGTGTGTCGTCGTATATACCACGTGTATCGTATCGAGACACTCTAGAATCGTCTCCCGAATTCAAGTAGGTTAGGTAGCTAAAAATATTATGGAATTTTTCCCCGTCGACGACTTTACTACCGGCAGCTTCGCTCCGACTTTGTAATGACATCGATTTTTCCAGAAGGAAATTTCACCGGAAAAGTACTTTCGGAGAGGTTAGGTTTTTTCTTAGTAAATGTGAAAAACTGGGAAAAATCATAGAAAGACCGGGGAAAAACGTAGAAAAACTTGGGAAATCGGTATTATAATATTAAACAAATATTATTAAAGAAACTACATAGAGCCTATTTTACTGTTTTACTATATGACACGTCGTATATTATCCGTAAATTTCGTAAGCAGTGTTTTTTTCATCGTACATATGAAATTACCTATGATAGCGGCTGCACCCGTTCCCGTTATCCCAGGACGTTTTTTTTTTTCACTGCCGGCTGTATAGTTAAAATTTGTTTTTCTGTTTTGCGATGACACAGCGCCGCACCGTCCTCTCGGACGTCTGAAAAAGCGGGCGCTGTGAGAAACCGTCGCGGAATATTAGTACGCGGTGATGACGGCGGCCGCACCCAAAAATCGCAAGATACCTTTTTTGTTGCATTTTTGATTTTATTTCTCACGGTATCATCACCAACACTATTCAGCCACTTTTGAGCTTTTAGGGAGTATTAATTTTTGGGAGTTTTTTTTTGCTGTAATACGGTTATAAATACACGTAGAGACTTGAAACTTGGTAATAATACTTATATTGGACTTACTTAAACGTTGTAATCGTTCACGAATCATCGGACGATTTTTTTTTTTTTTTAGAATCAAATTTAAACGAAAATCTATTTATTTTGTATGGTTATTTTACACAGAGAAAATCGGTAAAACCAAAGTTTTGAGCTACGTATAAAATAACAAACCGTAGAGTCGGCCAGTCTTTACTGGTACATCGTCGTGTTTTATTGACACTGTCTCGCGGTTCTTCGGCACACGTTGGAATATCTACAACGTGGATATCTAAATCCAGTAATATAATATTGGAAGAATGTGACGGTTCCGCAGTATTGGCAACCTTCATCGTTCCTACAAGTGGCTATTGAGCAGCAGCAGTAGTGCGTTTATGTTGCAAACAGGAATATGCAACTGATTGTTTCGTGTGTGGACAGAGTAGGGATTTTGAAGTCAATATAAAAGAGAAGATATTTCGGTGAGTCCGTGTTTTACCCGAGGGTAAGTTATTGATAAAAGTTAAATTCGCTAGTATCAGCTTATATCAGCCAACGGGAATAGTTGCAGGGAAACAACGACCGGAGAATGCGGCTGATGTTCGTATTTTCACTACGCCATCCCCGGCAAAAGTACAAACACTTGCGCTGCACTCGCTCCGTAATTATTTTATTACTCACAATACATAATTTGTTGGTCTTTTAGCAAACTAAATTTAATTTAAACTAAAACTAATCAAATTATTTCGGTTAAACGGTGAACTGTGAAA